ATATGATGGAGTTCTCTCGTGCAAAACATACACCGGAGATGTATTCAGATGTACAGACTGCATTCATATTGAATCCATAAGCCCTGAATAAAATTTTCAAATGAGTTTAATTTTGAATTCTATTTAATGGGGAAATTGAACGCGTGTGAGACACAAGACAGCTGATTACAGACGCGCTATTGTCCTAAAAGCACACATGTAAGCAGCAGTGCCACATAGTCTAAAGATAACAGACATGAGAGAAGGTGGCAAATGTTGTCGGGTGTGTTACCAACGTATAGATCTTAACGTCCCAATGTTTGGCTGCATCATGCCCGATTACGAGACAAAAATTATCATCGGCGCTGGTTTCCAGCACGTTTCAGTGGTAATGGGAGCAACGCTAAAGACGTCAGTTAGTTACGAATAATTCAACATTCGGTGGCCACGAGAGAAAACTATTGTCACCTTGTCAACGACTTTCATTCTACAACCAGTCCGACACTGGTCATTCGAATGGCAGTGCCTGGTATCAAGAAATCATTATTCAACCGGAACGAGTTTAATTAAAACCATTTAGGCGTGGTTATTGAAATGGGACGTCTCTTCTCTCACTTCGGTTACCAACTCCAGCTTATTCCCAGCCATTTCCAACATCTCAATGATGTGGGAGCTAAAGCAGCACATGTTCTGCTTCTGACGTAAAATAAATCTTGCATCGTAGGATTTCAAGTTTTCACGGCGGCGGGTCCGAAGTTGGATGTCTTCTGAGTTGCTGTGCCGTGAAATCTGGTAGAAGTCACATTCATCGACCTGATGATCAAGGCAGCAAGGACCTCTGAAACGTTGGTAAACTTCTACGAGACTACAAGTCGCTACAACCCAGAAGGCAGCCAACTTCAAGTCTTCTAATTGTTACGACATGCTAGTTAAATAATTAGACTACATAAACAGTCAAAAATACGTGATATTCCTCGGTATTTCTAAATTATTATGAAAAATGTACTTTCAAACATGACCCATCCAGATCAATCAATCAGTCATCCACGATTTTGATGTAAATAGAACATTTATACTGTACCGGTGATCAAAACTCGTTTAATTAGACACAGTTCAGTAAGTGATAACATTTCTTTGGCACATTTGAGAACAAACATCGTTTTCCATTTTATATTTCCTTTGCTTGCCTTTAGGCGCACATTTTTAATACTGCCACGTTCATTTCAAAACAAAACGTAATTTTATATTCCAAGCTTCAAAAATAAAGTAAATTTTTACAATAAAAAAACAGTTAACATTTCCCGAGGGAACATAACCTTTTAACACAGGATGAATAACATATGCTGATAAAGAATGTGGGTAACTTCCGGCCTCACCCACACCATTCTGTTTGATGAATAACAACTTTTCCAGGATTTTGAGATAAAGGAATCGAGACCGCT